ACAATACGTGTAATGTGTACAAGCTATATATATATATACAAACCGCATGATACAATACGGCGGAGAGTACGTTTTTTTTCCAACGTAGTAAATAGTAAAATATATATAAGAGTGGCTGTTATATTATAGTAGTTGTAGTAATAGTAATAGTAATAGTAGTAGTAGTAGTAGTTGCAGCGGGGCGAGAGGCCTCTCTCTCTCTATCTATCTATCTATCTATATAGTATAAAATATATATATTATATATACCACGACCAGAGACGTGGAAGACAAATTATAACGGGCGGGAAGCTGTCGCTCGGTCACCAGGCAACCGGTTTGTTGCACGTACAAGACAGAGACGGAGCGCAAACAAATCCTCGGGGTCATTGGCTCAGCCCAAGAGAAGAGATATACACGTAGAGTTTATGTGCGTGCGTTTTTTTCCTATATATCTAAATACAAGTATATAAATATATATATATATTCTGTTTACAGTACACACACTTAGACTCTCTCTCTCTCTCTCTGTCTTCGCCTTTACTATCCACGGTTTTTTACTCGCTTTCCCCCAGCCCCCCATGCCCGTTTACAGCGGGCGTACAACAGCCACTCCTCTCGGTTCCCCGTAGCCACACACACACACACAAAACACAAGGTGCTCGGGGCGTATACCTGCCTAGTGCCTACAACAATAATAATAATAATAATAATGATAATAATGATAATAAACGACGACAACGGCCACTAGGTATATATAGTGTACGGAAAATCACGGTCAAGACTATACAGTCTTGATAATACATAGCTGTGCACCATGATTTTCCACTTAAAATGCGGTTTTTCCAGGACCTCGAAGACAACCGAGAGAAAGGCCGTGTTAAGACAATGTTTTAATCAAGACAAACAATACAGTCTAAACAATAATATAGGATCTACATATTATATATATTGTATACTTATAGTAATATACTTACTATGTATTGATTGTCTAGCGCAAAGGTGAGCACAAATACTTAATTTGTCCTCGAGGATAATAAATATAACCATACCCCGAGTTAACCCTAATACTGTGCCCTATTTATTTTTTCAATTTGAGTTACACGTGAAGAACATAACCTTAAACTGGAAAATAAGTAATTATATACTTAAAATAATAATGTTGGACTAAACAAATTTCATAGAAGTAGCACCCAATCAAGTGGATCGTATACATTTAAAAACCTGTAACATAAAATATTTAATAACAATTTCATGTCATATAAATTTAGGCGTTCTGAGTAATATACTTCACTAAAATAATTGTTACCTTAGTAGAAGTTTTGTCCGGGCCGGCTTAACTCGGGAAAGAAGTAGTAATATTATAATACTTACATATTTACTCACGCTACTCTTTCTTTCACTGGATCCAAAACAAACATAAAACGTTGAAAAGTCTTAAAAACACTTATTGAAATATTAAAACGAGAAATATGTAAATGGATTAGATGTAATTTATGTGTTTATGTTAAGCAAAGCGAAAAATATATTTCTAACAATTAATAATGCCTAGTCAAATGATTAATGTCTGGACCATTAGCTGCACATATATTTAATTTGTATATGTCTTATAACAGGAAATACTACAAGACCCGTGTCTTTCATCGGCCGACCAGCATGTCACAAATCCACTATTGTAGATTTGCAGTTTTATAGTGGCATAGCTCAAAATTGATCATAATTCACGATTAAATGTGTTAGCCCACAGCACTGTTTTATAATATTGAACTGTTGAAATAAGAATTTCATCAATATTTTTTTTAGTTTATTGAGTTTTCGTGTCGGTTTGACAAACTTGTGCAGATAGTTGTTTTTTAAACGGGTGACAGCGGATAAGCTTTGTAAAATTATAACTGTGGAGTACTATGGCCGGAGGGGAATAAACAAACTACCTCAGGCCCGGTTTTTTTTTTTGGGGGGGGGGGTATTAGCACTGGATACCTGTCCAGAACGTCTACCCACGCCCGCGTAGGTATATGCTATTAATAACAGTATAACAGATGAATATACATTGACTCGTATTTAAACGTTCAATGTGCGCACACGATATACAATAATCCGATACTTAAGCACAGGATCGACGAATTCGTACGATTTCGGAAAACTAATTAGTCTGGCCGGACGTAAGGGTGGGGGGGGAGGGCAGAGGGGAGCACATGCCCTTCGCCTAATTTTTAATACGCGTTTTTACGGACTTTTATCCATGTAGGACAAGCGTTCGGCGATTTAACGCATATTGTTTTTTTTTTTTTTTCACTCACTAATTAGAGTCATGCTCATTTTCATATGCACCGTTGGCGGGGCCAGCGGAAGGAAGGACATTGGTTTTATGAATAATAATAATAGGTGGTAAAAAAAAAAATAATAAAAAAAATAATTTTCCCGCACCGCAATGGTCGCCGCAAACAGTATCGCGCGCGTTATCTCCTTGGAGACAGTCGCTGTATAATATTATATTGGGTGTAACGGGGCGCAGTGTATTATTATTAACAGTAGCGTTTATGTCGATGGACGTGCATTGAAATCTCCATATTTCGTTCAGGACGGCCAAATGGCAAAATCGCTATTCTCCCGTTTACCACTATCGGCGGCAAAAATAATGTTATGTAAATAACTATGAACTGCATATTTGAAAAACAAATTTTGATAAAAAAAAAAAAAAATGGAAATAGCCTGTTGTTCTTGCACCAATCCCTTCGGTTTCGTGCACGAGCTGTGTAAACACACAGATGACCACTGTTGGGGGCCTTGGTAGGTACGGGCAGAGGACATAGGGATTCACCTTTAACCCTTCGGTGGAGGGACTCTGGTTCCCCTATATCGGCCGTGGTCAACCCAGACGGATAGAGGGCCGACCGCAATCCTCCGGCTGTCCGCATCCTTCGACACGCAAGCCCAAGCTCATGAAAAAAACCAACCAAACATCTGACATCCATCAACCACCCATCTATATAGTGGTGCCGTCGCGTATATAATATATATATATATTATACATATTTTACCGCTAATTATGTATATTTATGCATGCAATATCACACACGCCCATCTTGTGCGTCCAAAACACCAATTATTATTATTATACGCGCTCCGCTTCTGTATACGAACAATAACAATATTATACATACATCCTATCATTACACAATGTTGACCCCGGCAATCGACCTTTGTTGTTATACATATTCCACCCCCACAGGCCACAGAAACGTCGAACGCACGGGAAATTGCCCGGCCGTGGCCGAACGGATCGTTCATAAGTGCATCCGAACAGCCCACTATGTATGCACATATGAATGAGAATGTACAAAATATATATATACAATGTTTTTAGACCTGCCAACAGCAGCACATAAGTCCTGTAACTTATGACGGTCGAGTCCATCCGAGAACTTGGCAAAGGTTCTTGTAAAATCCAGCCTATCCTGTAATGTGATTTACCAGTTTACACTATTAACTGATTAACGACTGTCATAGTATAATTAAATTATTGTGTTGAATGTACGGCCCTACATTAGTGTAACACCTGAGTGAGATACGATTTGAAAGAGAAGACCGAGGTAATAACAATGCAGGTATATCTATAACTTGTATAGATATACAAGTTTTAGCTATTAATATTTTAAGAAATGTTCTAAAAATCGATTAGCACACGGTATCCGCGTGGTCAAGTGCCTACACGAATGACACAATGACGTTTCTGAAACAACGTCGTGGTTTTTTTAAAAATAAATAGCCTTATCATAACAGTTTATCACTATAGTGCTGTGTCATCCGATCGACCTAAGTAGAGACATAGCAGTCGAGTGTACCTATATATTATTTCTACTACACACGGTGCACAGCTTGTCTGGAATACTATACTAATAACAATAATTAATTACCTACCCCCCCGCGTACCAGCACGTGATGCGCATAATATTATTATAATTATTATTTTCAGTGGTCGCTTATATTGTTTCATTGGCGCTCTATTGAACAGACGATTAATTCTTTCACATAGTATAAATAATTGCCTGACGAACAATTATGTTGTCAGGTGACGTTTCGATATAGCGGTATTATTAAACGGAGGCTCACCTATAAAAAGGGTTAAGTTGTGACTTTTTTTACCCCCCAAAAGTGAATTTATCATATAACACACCGGGTGTGTGTCACGCATAATTCGTACACGTATGATATGTAGCGCGTGCTAGGTACTTGCCGTGCATATCCACAACAAACGCATGTCACCGTGGTCTATCATTATGCAAATATTGCTCCATTACACCATATGGACGTTTAATCGTGTTCATATTTCATACAACAATAATAACAGTGTGTGTAGCGGCCGTCCGAATATGCGATATCGCTTCTAATTGGTATTCATCGCGCGCAAAGGCCGGCCGACCAGAAAACCGTAATTGTTTATTGTGTTGTGGCGTGTGTTTGAAAGACGAAACGCGCAGAAAAGCGCAAAAGTCAGGTTTCTTGCGCGCGTTATGCAACGATGACCGATAAAAAAATAAATAGGTAATCCACGGTTCATCGGTTTCATCGGATGGTCCAAGGCTCGCACGGCGAAATGCATCGGCAGACACGGGCGTACCCTTGACGATATTCCGGCTGGTTCGCTTTCCCCCGTCGAAAGAAATAATATGTACATATATATATATATATATATAGACACACACGGCGTACACACTCGTGACCTCATGCGAGTGACCCTGGACACACCCGAGCCCCGCCGACGGGGAGGCAGGGGAGAGAAAAATACAGGTACACATAAACGTTTGTCCTTGGCGGCGGACCTACGGATGATTTCTCGTGGAGAATTTTCCAAAAACAAAATTTCGCAACCGATTCGTCTCGAGCCAACGACCATCGGCATCGCGTTCGGGTTTCGCCCAAGTACTACGGGGCGGATGGGGGGGGACGTCCGGGATATTTAAAAGTGGAAAATCGGATATGCGCCGCCAGTATATGCGAACCGTTCCGGCCTGGTATTGCGTGTTGTACCTTATAATATTGTATTGTTGTTGTTGTTTTTTTTTTTTACCACTATTATTAGGTTCTGTGCAGTTTGTCGATTTTCCGCATTTTTCCGGCGGTGACAGTAATTTATTATTATCATGTTCGCGATCAAGTGCGCTACCGTGTTGGCCGTCTTGTGGCCGATCCTGGCGGCGGAATGCTCGTCGCTGCTGACGGCCAGGCACAAGCGGCAGCTGTTGCAGAACAAGTACGCGGGACTGGGCGACAACGTGGAGATCCTGCCGGTCGGCGACACATCCGGGGTGAGTAGTTCCTATAGCGTTGTCGAGACGTCCAAGTCACCCAGAAAGGAGTACAACACGTACGGCCTGTACACGTCCAAGCGCGCACAGCCCGACTCGCAGCCGGACAACTCGGAGTACAGGACCCACAAGGACAGACCGGTAAGGCCGGCCAAGGCGGGCCGGGACGAACCGCAGTCGGCGTTTAGGTTCCCCGAGGACGGCAGGCCGTCGTCCAGACAGCAGCAGCAGTCCAAGGAAGCGTTCAAGTACGACGACCAGCTGGACACGGTGCTGAAATCGGCTCCCGAGCAGCAAAAGAGGCCGGCGGCGCTGGTGCCCACTAACCGGAAGAGGTACAAGCCCAAGAAAAGCGCGTCCCGGGAGAGGGGCGACGAGGAGACTTTCGAAGAGACCAAACGGGCGCCGAAAAACATCAAAGACATCGTCGAGGAACGGCCGGCCGAGAGCAAGATCTCGCGCGACCTGAACGACGAGGGCAGCCGGTACATCGGGCACGGCGCCAGCGGTTACGGTGGCGGCGAGGACTTCGAAAAGGACAAGCACTACGAAAAGGAAGCGGGCCAGAAGTTCCTGGAGGGCCACAAGTCGGAGGAGGGCGAGAAGGCGGAGAAGGCATTCAAAAACGAGGAGGCGTACGAGAAGGGCGAGAAGGAGGACTTCGGCAGCGACGAAAAGCGCTCGGAGGTGGCGGAGAAGGCGGGCGAGAAGAAGGGCCACGTGGACCAAGCCAAGCACTACGGCGAGGCGTTCCAGGGCAACCAGGGTGAGAAGGGCATCTCGGTGGTCAAGAAGGGCGGCCACAAGAAGGGCAAGAAGACGTCCGGTTTCCACAAGGTGCACCACAAGGACGAGTACAAGAAGGACGAGGTGTTCTACGACGAGGCGCACGACGGCGACGAGCACGAGGAACACCAGCACGAACACGAGAAGCACGCCAAGGAGAAGGGCGGCAGCGAGAAGAAGGGCCACTCCGACACGGGCTACCACGAGAGCCACGGGTCCAAGAAGGCCGAGAGCGACCACGGTAAGAAGTACGAACAGGCCAAGGGCCACAAGTCCGAGGCCGGCGAACAAGCTCACCACGGCCAGCATTCCGAGTTCGCCAAGAAGGGAGGCGTCAAGGAGGGCGAAAAGTACGGCCATACCGACGCGGGCGGTGGCAGCCACTTCGAGAAGGGCGGATTCTTTTAGGCCTGACCGCCGCGAGGTGCACGCGGTTTCCCCTTTGCTTGTAGGAAAACATTCCTTTAATTTACCTCTGACATGTAACCTCATCTTACCGTTGGGCAATTGTTATTTTCTACATTGTTTATTAAGTTTTTTTTTCTTATTGTATGTTTCCTACCATGTAGTCTTAACGAATAAGTGTTGTGTAAAGTAATAATAATTATTATTAATATATAATATTATTTTATGTATTGTGTGTGTACCGTGTTTTTACTACAATCGTCAGCGATCGCAATTATTCGGTTTGGGTATTTCATTTAATTATTGAATATTATATGTATTTTTTAAGTGCCAATTAGTCAGTTAAAGGTCAATTGCCAAATGGATAGGCAGAACATTGACTTGAAAACTTATCCGACTCGGTACCTAAAACTTCATTGCGGTTATATCTTTAAATAACTAATTAGCTAATTTATTTCTAAAATATCTATACCTATTATTTATTATTAGAAAATATCACAAAAATAAACATGAACTCAATACAAGTATTTTATCATCGTACACGTTTGATGTGTAATTTTGTTTATTTGTTTTTAACCGAAAGAAAAGCGTACCTACCTTTTTTTTTTTTGAACGAGGCCATTAAAATTTTTAATTTTCTAAAAATATATAAACAAGGTCGTGGGAATAGCTGTTGCAATATAGATGACAAACTATGTAGAGTCTGCGATGGCTCTTTTTTCATGACGTGCTCACTATATTACGGTCGTATTACTATCGTATTTATAGTGTTATTATTTTTGAATTTAATTTCATATATTTTATTCGAGTTCACTCATAGAGAATATAATAATATGTTAAGTGACCCCCGTCGTTGATGTTTATCTCGGCTTCGGATGCGCATAAATTGGAATATCGTGTTACCGCGTCTATATATATACCACACTGCACCGCATATATAATAGGTACAATAGTATAGTTTTTCTTTACACACATACATTTCCTTCGTCGTCTACCCCCCCCCTCCCCCTTGGAGACTTACCTATGGGCACATAAAATATATATTGTAGTTTGGTTATGATTTTCAAAAAACCGACGTGGCGTACGCACACACACACCGAGAGATATACCCGACATAATATTATTATCAACCGGTTGCACGTGCACAGCACCGTCGTCTCAATATAAGCACCCACGTGGTCCTCAGACCACATGTACAATGGAGAGCCTGTAGGCAGACGTGACCCGTAAAAGTGTGTTCTCTGGCAGACACAAAGGAGACTGGGATATCGGATTCATCGGTGTGTGTGTGTGTATTATCATAATCGGGACGTGTCCTACACCGTGTTATAGCTACACCGTGGTTACACTGGTTATGGCTGAATAATCGGGACGATAGGAGGAGGAGGAGGAGTTATTGGATTTCATCAGTCATCGCGCATATAGACACACGAGATTTACAATATATACGGTAGGCACACTACGATGATGATAACTTGATCGTTACCATCTTCGAACTTTGCGAGGACAAGTTTAAACGCTAAACAATTGCCACACTCATATTAGGCATGGTCTTAAACAATAATTAGCTTGAAAATGTTTACATCACAAGCCAACCATCGCCGCCAGTTAAACGATACTTAGTCGAATTTACGAAAGGAACTGACTTTTATTCAAACCGAGTAGAAATGTTGATTATCTTATATCGACTATTCTTTTTCGTTTGTAGTTAGTGTAAAAGTTATATAAAAAAAACGAATAATTCGAAAAAAATTGCCTATATCGAACCCCTTAATAAATCGTAATATTTGGCAAGTATGCTGTGAATGTTGGAACAAATTTAAAAGCAAAACCGTTATTTTCCAAATTATAATAAAACACTAAATTTTTAGTCAAGTTCATCGAGGGTGTGATATATTTATAGTCTAATAAACACATATATTTTGTTGTTATTTTTGTTTAAACTTTTATTTTCAAAAAAATGTTAACAATAATTGGAACTTTTATAATAGACATTTTTTCTAAGTTCTGTTGCAAGTGTTATTTATTATAATAGAATAATACTTATACGATTTTATTGAATAATCATCGGTTTGAAAATGTTATAGCTAAAGTACATTTTTTCAATTATTCAAGAGCATCTTATTAGAATGTATATATTTTTCTAATTGTTTTACTGGGCAGTTGTATACTATAGAGAGACGTTATTGTCTGTGTACGAATAATCAAAGTAGTATTTTTTTTTTTTTTTTAACTATATTATTGCCCAGGGAAAGACGATTATTCAAACACTTACGGATTGTTGTGCGCCGTACAAGTTAATAATTAGTTTGGCGCCACTATTGCCAAGAGTGTTATTGTAGAAAAAAAAAAATGTTAATTTTACTAGGCTTAATTTGTGTTATTCATAGTCGACTAGTATTATATATTAGTTATACACGGATTATGCATTAGAATTGACCTACAGGGCAACACGCTATACGTATATTATAGATATATAATACATAAGTACATAATATTCCATTTGCGATAATCGTCCAACTCAAACGCTCCTGTTTGATGTTAAATATTATTATTATTATTTAGTAAGTAGGTGCAGCGAGTATATAAACGGGTTGATATAATTTCTACAAGTGTAAAATATTATAAGTAACTAAAGTAAGTATACACATAATCACACGTTGAGATATACGCACATACTACACACCTACGGTAATTATTATTGTACTTATATTTATTTAAAACTTGTCTGTAAACCGGTCGACGGAAACTGCGTGTTGACCGAACAGCTGCTGTGCATTATCAAATTATAATAATAATAATATAATGGTAATAATTATTATATTACATTTTGTTCGATATTATTACGGCGGCGGTCCTGGTATAGGTTTATTTTGTACGCGATGGATGGATTAAATTGATGGACAAAAAAAAAAAAAGAGGCGTTCCTTCTATCATCTATACAGAATTATGTGTAGCGGTTTTTCGGCGTGACAGCTTTTATATTATTGTACACACACAAGTCACAGGCCGCATTGTCACCGCACATATTATATAGTGTCGGTGCGATATAGGTATACCACCTATGTGTGTGTGTATGTAATCATTTCGGTTAGTCCGATTGACTTGGACGTGGCGTATTGTGTGACCGGTCGAACCGATAAATTCGTGGACACATAAAAGGGGGAAACGCGGTTTGTATGTAATAATAATATATTACTCGAGAGTACAGATAGAGACGGAGAGGCAGCAAATATCGACAATAGGTCATTGCCGTTTAGGTTTGTGTTCTTTTTTTTTTTTTTGTTGAAAAAAACCGTTTTTCAGTAATAACATTGGTCGAAAAAAATATGTGTGATTCTATATACGACCGCGCGCGTCCCTTTCATTAAAGAGAAGCGCCCGACAATGTGTCATAAAAGTCACCGCCGGACGTCCGGTAAACATTACTGTGTGTGTGTGGCCAGGCCGGGGCAGGGTTGTCCGACAAAAGCGCGAATTTACAATATTCACACGTCTCCGGGTAGTAGGTATACAATGACAATATAATAATAATATAAGGGGCGAAAAAAATAATAAAGTAAAATATCATATTATCTCCTATATGTATTATATACCTACAGACGCACACGGGAGCTGTATTGATTTAACCGATATTTTGACACGGAGCGTTTTGCCTGCGAGACGGTTTCCATTGTGTTGTGCAGAGCCACAATGTGCGATCTGTGGTGTTGTCAAAGTGTTGCTCATTAAGTCAATCACGGGCAGCGGACGATTTTCTTTTACACGGCACAAAAGGGAGCACGGATATCGCTGTTGGTTATTTACACGTTCTGTGCCATTAAGTCCTTTGACGAACAACACATCTGTTGTGTGCGCCGTCGTCAGCGGTTTGTGACTTGGACCTGGGGGCCAAGACGGGAGGCCGCAAAAGACACGTTTACATATTATTATTTTACAGACATTACCCCCCCCCCCCAAATACGTCCCCCCGTTTCTAAACTATAGCAGCATAATAATAGTTCTTCGCACCAGACCCTTTAATAACTGCGACCGGCGTAGCTATAGCATATCAAGATCTTTCGAGTCGACTCTGTACTAAACAAATAGACGCATTTAAGTTTACCCAAAGATCATAAAACAAAACCTACGTTGATTTTGGGTGTAAAACAAGTCAATGTTCAGATTAATTGAGCAGTTTTGGCATGAAAATAAATCTATACAAAATGAAAGATGACACGGCTGATATTGGGAAAAACATTTTACAGCAAAGTTATAAGCAATTGGGAAATTGGCAAATTCAATGTATAACTAAAAAGGCATTTTTTTTTTAGAATAAAATGTATTTTATGCATTAAGTGTAACATTTAATATGCTTGTAATGATCTTCATCTCTGTAGGTATAAAATAATATGTACTTTTACACTATAACTGTTCAGTTCTTCAATAAAGTGATGTCTTCAGACAACGTTTGTTTTCAACTATTTTGCAATTATCGTTTGTACTTGCAATATATTATACTGTGATAACATAACGAAACAAATTAATTTTTAAATTAACTTTATTTACACAAATACAACGTGGATAATGCGAAGAGGGTTAAAGTATACTATAATGAATACAACCGACTCAAAATTATATGGCATATGCGTGATCTATTAGATGAACCACTTATTGGCTCTAATCCATCAACATGCTGTAGTAATATAATATTGACTGACGGCAATAATTGCTGACGGTTTTTGTGGTTTGCGGTGTACTTAACCCTTTCGAATTCGTGGGGTGGCTCTTCGGCAGGCCGTGCGGCCATAAAAGTGGGGTTCTTCTTCGTAGGCGCCGCTAAATCGTAGCACTTAAAAAACTATATTATAACGTTTAACAAAACTTGACCGGCCGCGAATACAATACTCGCTCGTTTTCTTAATAATATATATATTGTGGATAATAATAATAAAACGAGAGTATTTCCTCGGCCGGCCAAGTCTCAACAATACTCGTCATAAAATAGCCGACATTAAAATGATTTAAAAAAGAACTCAAGACCTTGGCAAAACGTTTATATGATGACATCGGCGTGCACACGACGATGACGGCTTTCGAATCCATTAGGTACTGCTAATGTGAACATGGCTGATAACAGTATTATAATGCACGGTTGAGTGCTTTTTGCTTTGAAGTCATACAATAATCGGTGAAACGCCGGTAACATGTTTCGCTGGCTGACAATTATTTCGTTAGATATAAACTTATATTTACATACATATATTATTATTATTGTATGAAAATTACTTCTGTTCTAGAGTCTTCTTAGATGGTGCAGCACCGTTAGCGGTTATGCGGTTATGCCTAATCCATCCGAAACCGACTGTTCCTATTTTCGCCATATTATAACCTTTTAATCGTTACTAAAACAACGGGAC